TTCTTTCTTATATAAAATTCTAATTTAAATTTACGTTTACTTACAGTTGATTTATTTTTTATTGATTGACATATTATATCTAACTATAAAAAGCGAAAATATAATTGGTGAAAAAGGCATAACAGCTTTATTTTTAGGTTTATCTGAATGCATTAATCTCTCAATTTTGAAATTAGACCTCCAGTAAAAATATTCATTAATATTTTTTGAAACTATAGTTTATTATTGTTGATTTTTTAAAAATCAATATAAATGTATGGATAATTATAAATTGTCTAATTATTTAGATAGATTCCACCCCATCTTCTTCTTTTTCCCATAAAATTTATAGTTTCTGATTAATTATCACATTCCAAAATAATAAATGTTCATAGTAATTCCAAATAATTCATTTTATTTAATACATATAAAAATAAATGATGAGCTTAATTATTTAAAATAAATTAAAAAAATATTCTATTTATTCAAAATTTAAATTTTTATTAGTGAAAAAAATCTTAAAATATTGTATTGTAGGTAGTAAATAAATAAATGGGATGTTCTTCAAAATAAAATTTTTAATTAATAATTTATCAATATAACAAACATTACAACATATTTAATTTAGTTAATTTATTGTAATTTATTAATTTCTAGCTCTACTTTATTATTTCAAAGATATTTCAGTATTAATTTCTTATTATTTTATCTTGTCCTTAAAATTAATATTAATTTTTTCCTTTTTAATTAATTTATTTTAAAATAATAAATAGGCAAAATAAAATGGGTGATATGGGTGCTTCAGCTTTAGGTTTATGTCTCGCTTAATTAAGAAATATCACCGATTTATCGCTCAACCTTGGGTAAAAAATTTATTTCCATTTGTTGGCATTTTACCTTAATATTATTTTGATAATAATATATTTCTATTGAATGTTAATAGGTCAAATTAAATTGGTGAAAAGGGTGCTTCAGATTTAGGTTTTGGTTTATCTAAGTGCTCCAAACTCAAAACTTTGAAACTCGAACTTTAGTAATAATATTTATTTTTTAGCACTTTCTATTATTCTTAATTAAGTTAAACAATTAACTAAAAAATGAATTAATCTTAATATTTTTAAGTATTAAATTAATTTTTTAGGATGGATTAAATGTTTACTTTCTAAAACATATTTTTTTATTTTATTGAACTAAAATTTCATTTTTATTTTAAACTTTTCATTT